AAGAAATAATAAGACATCAGGGATATAGTGGGTGACAGTATAGTTAAAATATCAAGTATTATATATATATATATATATATATATATATATATATATATATATATATATATATATAGAAGATACAAACAAAAATAGAAAATAAGTATGAATAAAAATAGAAAACGAAGGAGAATATAGAGGGTAAGTTATAAGTAAACAGATTGTGATAAAAGATAAGAAATGAGTGTACAACAAACTGGTAAAGATTTCATTTGATAACTGTATGTTAACAGATAAAGAAAATGAGTCTTGGTGAATAAAGAAATTGAAAATTGAATAAGTAATGATTCAGTAAAGGTAACATAACTTATCCAATTTTCAAGTTCTTTATTATATTCTAACACGCTGTATTCTCCTTTGTTTTCTATTTTTGTTCATACTTATTTCCTATTTTTGTTTGTATCTTCTATATATATAATACTTGATATTTTAACTACACTGTCACCCGCTATATCTCTGATGTCATCTTATTATTTCGTTATCAGACAACTGTTCCTTATTTAATATCTACTTATACATTTAATTTTTTTATTTTCACCATGTACCTTTTATATTTTGTATCTTTTGTAACTCTGATGAAGACCTGCAAGGTTGGTCGAAACGTCGGCGTAACAATGAAAAATACTGTTTTTTAAAAATTTAGAATTTATTTGACCGCACCCCCCGACCAACTCCTTCTCATAAACTATTATGAGCGTCAAAGCGTTTAATTAATTTGTAAACATTGTATGATTAAAACATTTGTTCCACTAAATACATAAGAGAATGAATTTTATAAAACTGTCTGTTTAATATCTATTGAGCAGAATTTTAATATTTTCTTTAAGTCGCTTTGGTTCTTTACCGATCAATAGATTAACATTGAATCCATGTAGAAATTTGTTATAATTGCAATCAGTATAAATATAATTGTTTACTTTGATATTTGCTAACAATAGGTTTTACCAAAACCAAAAAAAAGGTATTTATTTGTTTCGTTATAGGTGAGAATTATATTTTAAATAGATAGATAGAAAATAACTTTATTTTGGGACACAGTCCCTTGAGATAACAAAATTAAAAGATTACATCTGGCCAAATTAAATCAATAGAAAAAAAAGAAATAATGTAAGGTAATAATGTAAAGAAAATATAAGGTAAACATTCTATATACAAAATAAAAGGAAACTATATAAAAACAATTAACACTATGACAAGACACTTAAAGCTATTTGCACTGATAGACCAGTATACACTTTTAAGAAAACAATAAAGAATTAAAAAATAAATATATATTAAATTCTTCATTTAAATAAGCTTTGTGTTTCTGTTGAGAAAACAGAAAGCTGAACCTGAAAATATAAAGTGCCCGATTAATATATAAATAAATTATCATTTAAATGTTGATTAATTTATAAATACATCATCCTTCTTAACATAAAATAGGCAAGAATTTATTGGTGTATAAAAGATAATAGTTATAAACTACCAAAAGATGTGTTCAGTGAAATCAAGAGTAAGAAAATCTTTACGCTATAAGAAAATTAATATCTCTAGCAAAGAATAGCATTGATATTTGACAGTGAATGGCATGAAATAAATGTATTTAACTTAAGATGTTGATAGTCAAAATTTCCTTTAATGCAAGCAAATATTGTTTTGTCATTTTCCCATCTTCAGAACTTAGCAACTACATTTCTAAACTAACAATTGGACAACAACATAACTGTCATATACAGTGGGTTAAAAAAGTATTGACAAATTCCAATTTTTATGCAAATCTCAATAAGATTAAGAAATAATATTTATATAACAAAGTAGTCTTTGAGTATTATATTTTATAAGCAATGCATAGAATTTAAAAGCTATGTTAAAAATAAAAATAAAAAGTAAATTTCGAGAGTCAAAAAAGTATTGGCACAGTTTTAAATGTTTACTATTAGCTCTAGTCAAATCAAATTATTCCTTTTTTTTTTCAAGAGATTAGAAACGAGGATTGATGATATTACAATGACAGCAATAAAAATCAGTCTTTGCTGTGTATTCCCCTTTAAAACATGGGTAAACCAGCCAATATTTTGTCAGTTTAAAAAAAAAAACACCATTAAATTACATTCTAATGGACTTAGCTACCGAAAAATACAGAATAAATTGGAAATTGGTTTTATTAGTGTTGAGAATATTGCACAAAAGTTTAGAAAGTTTTAAATAAACCCCGTTCAGAACGGCCACCAAAATTAAATGTGAGGGCACAAAGCTGTATCCATCAAATTGTTGAGCAAAATCGCACTTTATCAGCCACCAAAATAGCAGAAGAGGTCTCATCTACTTCAAATACCACTTTCTGTTAGAAATATAATTCATATATACAATTATTATTTTAGGTTCCTAAGATAAAAAAACTTTTATTACAGAAGTAAACCGCGAAAAAAGACCTGAGTTGGCCAAAACTGAAGTTAGTAAAGACTTTGAATTCTGGCAAAATATTATTTCGTCTGACGAAAGTTTAACATATTTCGTTCTGATGATGACTAGTAGGTTTGGCAGAAACTTGACACTGAGTTTTAAGCTCGACATTTGAGGCCCACTGTAAGACGATGTAGAAGTGTTCAAGTTTGAGGAGGCGTGTCATGGAATGGTGTTGAAAACTTAAACTCTATTGACAATGTTATGAATGCCAACCAATATGTCGACATTTTGCGATATAATTTAAAAAGTAGAGCCAAAAATATGGGAATCAAAGATGCACTTATTTTCCAACAGAACAATGACACGATGCAGACAACAAAATAAATGGAATGGAAAATGGAACTCCACCACAGTCTCTGGACATAAATGCCATAAAGCATTTATGCATCTGTTGGATTTTAAAGTAAAAAAAATCAAATTTCTTCAAAAAATTATTTAAAAGAAACTTTGTCGGCGAAACAGCATAAAATGGACTAGACATAACTCAAAGTCTTGTTTTGATGATGCCAAGAAGATTCCACGGTGTCATAGATACCAATAGTATGATGACAAAATGTTTAATACATTTCCAGTTCGTGAAATAACCCTCAAATTAAAGTGTGCCAATACTTTTTTGACCGTGTTGAAGTGATTTTTCGTGTACTGATTTTTTTACTTTAGTAAATTTAAATATTTTTTTCCCAATTATATATTTTTTAAAATCTTTTATTAAATAAAAAGTTTTTAACGAATCAATTTTTGATTTTTTCACAATGAAACATGAAAAAAGTTAGGTGTGGCAATACTTTTTTGATCTACTGATTCTATAGACAGATATCCAATTGTTAGTCTTTTCCATCTTCTGAACTTTTTCTTGCATTCGTTTATAGTCAATAGCTACGCTATGTGTACTTAATTCAGACATTTTTTCAAAGCAACCAAATTATTTGACTAATGGTTGCATATCTGTCCACAGATATCTGATTGTTAGTATAGTAATGTGGATACTCTGGATAACACTTTTGAAAAAATGTAAAAATAAGACAAAAGAGCGCACATAGCATGGAAGTTCTGAAAATGGGAAAGATATTTGCTTGCATTAAAGGAAGTTTTGACAACACCTTAATAAAAAGTTATGTTTTTTTATTAAATCTTCGAAAACTTTGAAAGGTATATATTAATAATAAAATTTTAATATCGAGGAAAAGCATTTTATTTCACCCTTATACATTTATTCCATACTTTAATTCATCTAAATTTCCCAACAATGTTTTGGGCAATTTTGCTCATTTTCAAGTCGAGTATTTATCTATAATGTGATAACACAATAATTATAAATATACATATGAAAAATATAACAGCATATAAAATAACAATAAACGAAAATTCCAAAATATCAAATCAATGAATAATAGGTAAGCCCACAGTTCACAGTGAACATTAGGCTGTTGTATTTACAGGGAAGAAAATGTGTAGCATTTGAATAAATTTAAAATGAATTTGAATTTTTGACTGTCAACAGGTAATTTACAGAATAGAATTTTGAGGTGTTTAAAACAAAAAAATTCTGTTTGGTCTTTCTTATTTGTGATACTTTGTATGTTTGGAATATTTCTTTTCAGTTGTTTTAGAATTGACTTTTATACATGTATTATATAATAATGATTGATGTAAGTAGAAATATTATTCATTGATTTGATATTTTGGAATTTTCGTTTATTGTTATTTTATCCGCTTTTATATTTTATATATATATATATTTATAATTATTGTGTTATTACATTATAGATAAATATTCGACTTGAAAATGGGCAAAGTTGCCCGAAACATCGTCGGGAAATTTAGATGAATTAAAGCATGGAATAAATGTATAAGGGTGAAAAAAATGTTTTTCCACGATATTATAAATTTTATTTTTTGTTATAACAACTTAATGACAATGAAAAAATGGACTGGCTTTTTAAAATAAATATTCTAAAATAGAAATATTAAGTAATTTTTTTTTCAGTTAAATTCTTTTTGAAAAATAAGTATAATTGATATTAAATTGAAAGATTTCCATATACAGTTTTTACATAATAATTAAATTCCAAACAAAAGTGCATGATACATACTTATTATAAAATATAAATATTTAGAATCTTTTTAAATAAAATAAATGTAGTTTAGATGTAGAATATTTAAATATACATATTTAGAGATGGTTCATGTATTTAAACATCTAAAAAAAAGAAAGTAATATAATATTATTCAATCTGAAGTTTTGATACAATATTGGTCAATATCCAAAGGAAAATATTGATATAGACAATTTCAAAAATTTCTAACCCTTTAGAAAAATTAACGTGAAGTGGAGTCTGAATATGTTTTGTATTTATATTTTAAAAAATACTTTTAATTAAACTTTTATAGTAATGTTCTGTACATTCTTCAACAACACAATATATATATATATATATATATAAATATTGTATTATTTAAATTATTTCAAATATATAAATTTAAAGCTAACCAATTTCTTTTGAGATTTGCAGAGAGGAGAAGTTATTTCAATCCACAATGGCCAGGCAGGGGTTGAGATGGGCAACGCCTGCTGGGAACTCTACTGTCTGGAGCAGAACGTCTCTCCGACAGGCGAGGTAAAGGATGACAGCCAAGGAAATCTGGACTCCTTCTTTTCAGAACTCGAATCTGGCAAGCGGGTTCCAAGGGCTGTCTTCGTGGATCTCGAGCCAACTGTGATTGGTAAGGAATATGACAAATATATTTGAAAATTTTGGGTAATGCACCCCAGTAGCTATAAGGTATGCAATAGAATAATTGGTGACTGTGTAGCAACACCTGACTAGTGGTGAGGTGTTTCGTACTAACTGTTTAATTTAAACAGTTTCTTTCCTTAAACAGAAACAGTAAACTGTTTCACCCCAGATTAAACAGATACAAGGGTTACCTTTCATTAGAAAGGGACAGGTTCTTACAATCATCACTGAAATCATCGAAAAGATCTTCAAACTGAACAAAACGAAGCCTTCGATGAACTCAGCAGTGAGTTAGGAACTTACCCAAGCCATCTCACTTTTAAGTTTAGTAGATGGAGACAGCGATATTGACAGGAAATAAGGAAACCACTAAATCTGTTTAATTTAAACAGCTTTCAGAAACAGATACAGAAACCTGTTTCATTAAACAGTTTCTTGCAACAGATACGTAAACAGCTCTCGGAAAACATACAATCCTCTGAAACAGATACAACACTCTGTAACAGCTCTACTGTATTTTAGACTATTTTGAGAGGAGCTGTTTTAATGAAACACTGGCCATTGCACTGATGCAACTTGTAAACAGCTATGCAGTTTCTATTCAATAAACAGTTTATCAACTCATTTTCTTATCTAATTACTATTTTCTGATTATTTTCATCAATAAATTTACTTATTATCTTTAAAATATGTTATGATACGGGATTAATTTAATAATTAAATCAATAATTACTTTGGAGATAAAAATTATGTTGATATCTTTTGAAAATAGTGTAAAAGTAACAGAAGACAATTTTTTTTTTTTTTTTACTCGCCGTTTTGAAACAGTTATCTGTTTTTTTAAAGTAGCAGAAACTGTTGCAACTGCTACTCATGACAAACAGTTTTGTCCATCACTACACCTGACATCCTCCTCGAAAAATGAGAATAATTAGCTTTTAGAGCCTCCTAGACCTCTATTTCATAAATTTTAGATTTCTATATTTTCTCCATGTATATTTGTCTGCTTAAGTTTGGTGTTGCCAGAAACCATAACCGTAATAATGAATGAAAAATTAAGAAGTTCCATCACATCACACTTAGTGTCCCAGGAACAACCATTTATCAGTAAGGACACCATTCCTTAGGTTTGGCTTTTTCTCTTTAATTACTTTGATTTATCCCAAAGTTTTTGTTTTATTTTTTCTTAGAGTGTTTTTAGATTATGTTTTATCTGCTATTAACTTATCTTGATGAAGGCATTGGAAATTTAATAGGTGGCCGCTTCTGGAGCCTTACTTTCATAAATTCAAAGAAACTTATTAAATATAACAAGTCTTAAAAATGGGACCATTCATTATTCTCTTATTTAAAAAAAAATTGCTAGTTATTTGAATTAAATATAAAGCTAAAATATATTTTCCTTTCCTATTGTCAAAAAGAGGTTCTTGGCAGTGACCATCATTCATTTATAGATAAATTTATTTATCAATAAATTTTAGTTAGGAAACAAAATTAAATTATTTTTATAATTTAAAGGTAATTACATCCTTGTCAGCTACTGGTGCAACAAAACTATTCTATAAATTTACATTTTTTACTTTCACTATATATGGACCGTTTATTTTAAAAGTGGTGTAAGTAGATTTAAAAAAAAAAAAATGAGATACAATTTAATTTATGCTTGATTTAGTGTAAACTTTTTATTTATTACTAGTTAGTAATTTAAAATTGGCCCAGTAACATCGATTATGAAAGTGGTGTAAGTCCAATTTCCACAAACAATAGTTTCGTCCATAAGGTGTGGGACAAAACTATGTTTCCAGGATATCGCAACAAGTAGCTTCATGCTGTTTGAGACATTTACAAAATGTAGCGACTCAATGTCATGTTATTGCATATAGTGATATATATATACTGGGCGAAATCAAGATTTACAAATAACATTGAGATAGTTGATCACACATTTTTTTTACTCTCCGGACATTCATACCTTCCACAAAATGCAGATTTTGGTATAGAAATGGCGTTACGAAAAAATAATTTCTTGTACACACCACAAGACTATTATGATGTAATAAAAGAATGTAGAGAATTCATTTTAATAATAAATAAATTCATTTTACATAAAATGAAATGACAGAATTTCGTTTCAACAAAATATCTTCAAAACGCAATAAAAACAGATAAGAAGAAACACTAATGAAGAGAAAATTATACCATTTTATATAAAATGTCGATGGAGGATTAAGAATTTAAGACTTTAAATTTATTACCTACACGTCCAGGAAGACCACTAAATTTGAAAAATTTGCTTTTGTATCACAATGCCAGACTTAATACTTAAAAAAATATTAGGATATGGAGCAGTAATTTCAGTAATCTTTGGCCGTGCAATGTGGTCTTCTTATAGATGTTTATTGTTTTTATTAACACCGATAGCCTGAAAAGAGTCACATGATGCTATAGATCAGTATCTCCATGGTATAGTGGTGGGCCAATCTTGTGGTGTACTCTCGGACTGCCTCAGGTTCTAAGACAGTAACAATAACAAATTGATCTAGATCTATGGATTATGGCTACTTAGAGTCCTGTATTTCTTTTCATGGAACAGACTGTAAATGGATCAAACCTTTGTGACACTATTAACATCTTGCCAAATCACATTGCGATTCCCAATTAAAGTACATGGGGTAGAGTTATATACCCGGTCGGTCAGAGTTGTCTGCAGTAAGCTGACAAGACTCATACCCATTGTGGGGGGAGGGAAACAGATTTATTTAAAAACTTTTTTTTTACTGTATACATTTTATAAAATAATTTGCAATTATTTAATTGTTACCTGTGGAATCCTGGGACCGGTATTCGAACCCACAACCATTGGGTTTGTAGGCTAGTTCATTTTTTCATCCATTAGTCCACCCCGACCCTTCAGTAAATACAGTACAGGAAAAAAATAACAATAATAGTTGTACTAAGCATATATAAAATGTGAGAAAAAAACATAAATACTTTCATGAATTAATTTTAATTAATAAAAAGCCTTATATTTTCATTCTTAAAAATTTGGAAGTCGGTATTCATTCAATAAAATCAAAATCAAATAATTTAGTTTATTTATTTTGTTTTTAGAGAAATAAAACACTATATACAAGAATTTTGGTAATGTTTTGATATAATGTAAAGTATCTGTAAAAGGTTATAAATTGATATATAAAATAATCAATAAATTAATATATAAAATAATCAGAAATGATACTTATTTATTTATCATTTTTAATATATTTTACTCTTTTGTATGGTTAGTTACATTGCTTCCTGTATTTAATTTCTAGACCAAATTAGGACTGGAAAATTCAAATCTTTATTCAGACCAGAGAATTTACTCAACGGAATTGAGGATGCTGCTAACAATTTTGCGAGAGGAAGATATACGGTGGGTCTACCCACTGGAAGGAGGGCGCTGGAAATCCTAAGAAAGTTGGCTGAATCTGCAGATCAGCTTCAAGGTTTCTTCACGTTTCACTCGTACGGAGGCGGCACTGGTTCTGGCTTATCCACCCTCATCTCCTCAGACCTGTCAATAGATTACCCAAAGAAAAGTTTTCTTGAAATTGCAATTTTCCCATCACATAAGGTAATTGTTTATAATAAATTTATTTGAAAACCATATTAATTAAAACTAAGGTCATTTGATATATCAAATATCATCAGTTTTTCATCATATATCTTATCTCCACATATATTATTACAGTAAGGCTCGAAATCGGTTTTGTACCAAATATAATCTGCTGTCATGCTCAAACACCATGAATGGAGTACCGTTGGATTCAGAATTTCACGGGAGGTTAGCGAATCGTATACTCCACTTTTGTTTTTCTTTCTAAAATAAATAAAGTTGATACAAAAATTTTGCTAGGCTTCAATACTGGAACGGTGGTAAGTCTGTAGATCGATACGGGACAAATTGGATCTAGAATATTTTGATGCGTAAAGCAAGACCTGCGTTTTTAAGCCCAAAAACGTACTATTTTCGAGATAACGCAAGGCATAAGGTTCGCATTCACACAACCTTACATTAATTGTAGTACTGTCATTGAACACATGTCTCATTTTGTCGACTTGAGGTCTCTATGATCGAGAGAGGAGGAGTTTATATTATTTATCGATGGTGTTTTTGATCGGCAAGCCATATAATCGTTAATTTTTTGCCAAATCTCAAGATTAAGCCACGAATTTCGAAGGCTTCCTTCTCCTTCAGGCGGGCAAAGTAGTCCAATCACCCCGAAAATTCAGGCAAACAAGTTATGAAAGAAAACAAACTTTATTTGCGAATAATTAAAAAAATACACACTTGGTCCTTGGTTATTCCCATGATTATATAAAAGATTACTTAATTCCCTACAAAAGGAAAAAAAAAATCATCGAAATCGGACAATTTTTAGCAAAGATACAGCTTATTGAAATGTTTAAACATGTTGGTTCCAAAAAATAGTGAAGATTTAAATTAATTTTTGTTTTCTTTGTCAATTATATTTATCGATAAAGTAACATTTGATTTCTTTATCTTTTTATACGTTGCATTATTTTATTTTATTATTAATTTGGCATTTGATAAAAATATGTTGTGTGAATTTTTCGCACGGGCCTACTAGTTATTTATAATTTCTGGTTGACCTTTCGGGCAATACTCCCTATTATTGATAATAATATACCTCAAAAATTGCTCTTATTTCGATGGAACTTTTTTTGTTTCTTAGAAAATTTAAATTTATTTGAAACACCTGATTGTAAAAATCATATAACAGTTAGTACTTTTTGAGTTATTCAGAAATCTAATTTTAACCACCCCTTGTAACTTGTAACCAGCTTCTTTTCGGTAAAGTAGGTTATATTGATAAATTTATAGGGCTTCGAAGGAGAACACACACTCGAAAATTTCATCTTGAAAGGAAAGAGCGAACGGTAATGCCGAGTTCTGAAGATCATTCTCAAAAGATGCATAAGATGCTCTTTGACATTGATACCAAGTCTCAAAACAATTAGTTCAATAGTCTCGGAGAAAAGCTGCGGATGTAAGACATAACTGTTATAATGACAAGTAAAGAATATTCACCAGATGGGGAGTATTGCCTCAAAATGTCAACCAGGAATTATAAATCATAAAATATATGATGAAAAATGGATGCTGATATAAATGACCTTAGTTGCAATTATTTATAAATTTCAAAGTTTTGGTTATGATTTGTCAAGAATATCTAAAATGTTGAAGTTTTGAAGAATTTTAGGACTAGAAATCTTTTGCAAGGAACTCTATTTAACTCCGAATATTTCTAAGTTTTTAAATAACATTTACAGAAATCTTGTAATTGCTCTCATGTTCATTGAATTTTAGCTTGAAAATATCTTGACTATTTAGAAATGAAATTGGAAATATTATAGAGCCATTTCAAATATGTAACATTTTGTTTTCTCTCCAAAACATGTAGTCGTGGTACAGAGCCCTTTTGTATTGAATTATTAACATCCGCCTGAAACTTTGTAAATTGTTTCACCTCATTGTAACATACACCTATTTTATTTATGAAAACTCTTGGATTTAGGGAGTTTTCAATCAGGAGGGAGGAAAACTTTGTCTATTTAATTAAGTACTAAAAACTCATATATACCCATTTGCTTTCTACTTGAATCGTAAGATAATTTGATTACAACACCAAGAAAAAAAGGGACCTTAAAAAATATTGAGCCATTTGGCGTGACCTACACTCCCAAATTTTCAAAATAACGAGGTTGTGTATGACAAACGGCCCAATATTTTTGTAGGCCACCTTTTTTATCTATTTTGTGATCAAATTATCTTACGATACAATTAAAAAGCAAATGGGTATTTACGAGTTTTTAGTACTTAATTAAATAGACAAAGTTTCCCCCCCTCCAGATTGAAAACGACCCCATTCCAAGAGTTTTTGTAAATAAAATAGTTGTAGGTTACGATGAGATAAAACTATTTACGAAGTTTCAGGCAGATGTTAATAATTCAATAAAAAGGGTGTAAGGGCTTTTCTAGATTCTTGTGTTATCAGAGGTGAACTTTTTTGTTTTATATGTTCTTATATATTTATTTAAAAAACAAAACAAAATGACTCGAACTACTTAATATCTAACTGATTCCTGTCTCTTAGGGTCGATAGGGTTCAAAGGTAGATTTATTTTCCTTGTCGCTTTTTGTTTTAATTAATTAACTTTTTTTTAGATATTTTTAATTTGTCTAGTATTGGCAATTTATAATTATCATACATGATTATGAACCTACTCATGCATGATATGATATGAAACCAACAAATAATTAAGAATACATAAAATATTTTTCAACATTTTTAGCTCAAATTGCTTCAATATTCTCATAGGATTTAACTGAATAATTTTAACCATCAAATATTGCAAATGGTCCAGCCATTTTCTCAAAAAATCGTTACAATATAAAATAAGAATTTCTTTTATAAAAAATAAATTCTCATAATTTTTTACAAATAACTAGATAAAAAATGGATGAACGCAATATTAATATATTTTTAAATTAACTGATAAAATAAAAAATTCAACTTGATTTTTTCACTTAAAATTATAATTTTCCAGCCGAAATACATCCCTAAATTTTTCATTTTCAATGCAAATGCACAATGACTAAGTGCTATTTGTGTTATCCCTTTCTTAAATTCTACATTAATTTCTATTTGTGATTATTCTCTTCATTTTCCTCCAAAAATAACTCTTATTTTAATGCTATTTTAATTAACTTATTAAATAAACTACTTTATCAATGAAAATAATATCTTAGTGATAGGTAAGTAGTCGACTGTTGAAATTATATCGATGAAACAAAATTGTCAGGTTTTCGAGTCAAAATTTCTTTAATCAGTTAGTCAACGTTTCGATCCAAATACTGTCATGGGTCATCTTCAGGACTGGAAGTCGAGATAAGAACAGTTCTTGTTGAAACGTCGGTTAACTGATTAAAGAAATTTTGACTGAAATTCTTGACATTTTAGTTTTATCCTTGTAAATAATATCGATTTGGGTTGACATCTAGAGAAGGGATGAACCTAATAAAGAAATACTCATGTCTCTAAGTAAATATACGCCCGTCTTTCATGCCGAGGTTTTAGCTCTTGATTTCACAATCTTCATTAAGGAAGGGAGTTAAAAAATAGATTGATTTCAATTTTTACGGATACTGAAGCAGCGATCAGCTCCAAGTTGGTAGATGAGTGTAAAGGTAATTTGAATATTTTCTGTAGCACCTACAAGCTGATAGTTGAATGGCTGCCTGGACACGCATGTATTCTAGGCAATGAGATAGCTGATTGCCTTGCTAGGAAGGCCTGCGTACGCCTCAATGAGGACGTGGTACATCCTTTGTCAAATTATTAAAAAAAAGATAATAAAATAATATCTTATTATATTTATATAATAATAATTATAATAATACAATGGTAATAATAATAAAAATCAATATTAGAAAATATATTAAAGTACTCTTTTGCCAATATTAGCTAATACATGCTAATAATATACAATAAATACTGTCATTCTTATGGGACTTTTTTTTTTTTAATAAAACTTATTTTTTAAATTTATTTGTCATAACTGACAGAATTGACACAATAAAAATCAACTAAATAACCGAAATTCGTTTTCTATGAATTTACGTATTGTCGAAAAGACAAGGAAGGGAGAGGGAAATAAAAAAAAAAGTTCTTTAGTTTATTAAGAATTATTAAAGTTTAACATAATAAAATTAACAAAAATAATATTAAACTCATATCCCTGCGAAATAGCTTCATGACAGCCAAAAACTGTATATTCCCTTCCCATTCTCCTGCCAGCTTGATTTGTATTTTTTCCCAAAAATTGGTGATTTTTTAAAACGATGTGGGACAAATTATTAAAAATCTGGCCTTCCCCTTCGGGTTCACCCCAAAATTGGGGGTTCACCTTAGTAAGTAATTTATTTTAACCACCTTTTTTTTTTGTTTCTGGGACTGACAAATTATATAAATTGAAATGAAAAATAATTTTATTCTGGGAGTAAAGCCCCCTTAGAATAACAGCAGAGTTCAAATAAATATATACACCAGTCTGGCTTGTATATATAATACAAATACATACAAAAAATCCTAAGAAAAATACAAATATATACAAAAAATACTAAGAGAAAATAAAAATGAAATGGCTTTTATAAATTACCTGAAGGCGAGCAATTGCAATTGAAAATTCTAACAAGCTTGTGGAAGTTTGTATGTGTTATAGGTAGAGGAATAGGCATTGTTTGAAGGAATTCGTGGACCTGATTTGATGTATGAAGATAGGTAAGGAGTTCCAAAAGGAATGGCGAAGGATTAACAGAAGAAAGTGGTTTTATGGGAGGAGATATATAGAACTATAGGTTGAGATCTGGTATTGAGAGATAGACTAGGATCTACCTCAGTTTTCATTTATACAGCTAGAAACCCTTTTAAATTATAGATAATCCTCACCTGAATACAAAACTCCGGTAAGTCCCTCGAAAGCCGTTGCTTTATATAAGAAAATTTAAATTAAAGAGGTGAAATTTGATGGTTCATTTGACGAAAAAACATACAGCTGAAATTTTGATATGATGTGAAGAATATGTTCCTAAACGAGAATTCACATTAACTGAACGATTTATTCTGTTTCATTTTGGAAACTGCAATACTCTCACATATTAACGTGTTTACATGAGGTACATATGAAATTAAATGCTCTTTCAAATTGATTATAGTGAATTTCTTCGAGATATGCATAGATTTGGGGAAAAACCGATGAAAACAGATATTTCTTCCGAAATAAGCATACAGTCAATATTCTCTAACTCCTCGCCGGTTGGACCTACATCGAAAACTATGTATAAAATTGATAGTAAATTTTCTTTTCTTTAACTTTGTATATAATAATAATTTCGTTAAAATATATCGTTTCGGAGTCATGTCCAAAAACCAAAAAAAAAAATTCGGAAGTTTCGCTATTTTTTGCATATATCTGGGAACGCAATGAAAAATTTTGTTTGGGAACATCAAATTCAGATTCAGCATCCCAAAAAAAAAATAAAATACCAAAGAGAAACCGACTATTTGAATTTTTTCCTCATCCAACTACCTTCCGACTGACCTAATTTGATGACTTTGACAAGTCAGTTTTCAAAATGCAACAGAGTACATCGTCAGTTAAGGTTAATTAGATTTTAGGGACATATTCCTGACATCGTCAAAATTTCAGCCGTATGTTCTTCCATTAAATGAACCGTCAAATTTCACCTTTTTAATTAAAATTTTATTAATTAACAGCTTTCAAGCGACTGACGGAGTTGTGTTTTCAGGTGAATATTATCTATAATTTAAAATGGTTTCTTCCGTTAAATTAAAACAGCTGTAGCTCCTAGTCTAAGAGTGAATAGAGGAACACTGAGTTAGGATTGGTAGTTCTTAGGTAAAGGAAAATACCAATAAAGGATTGCCGTCGGGAAGTATTATGAGTCACTTCAACTCGGTGTGTAAATAGGAAACGCCCAGAGATCCCGAAGATGAATCTTATGAAGCAATTCAATGAGTCTTTTGATATATGTTGCAGCTACGTATTTCGATTGGATACAAAAACATTTACAAACTCTTCTTTTTTAAAACTAAGTACGAGTTAAATAATCTATAATGACTTTTGTCATGCTAGACTGTATAGACAGCCCACTCTGTTTCGATATAACGCAATTGCGCTGGTCAGATTATTCTTATTTATTAGCAATTAGTAAAAAAAAAAAATAAGATAATAAAATAATATCTTATTATATTTATATAATAATAATTATAATAATACAATGGTAATAATAATAAAAATCAATATTAGAAAATATATTAAAGTACTCTTTTGCCAATATTAGCTAATACATGCTAATAATATACAATAAATACTGTTATTCTTATGGGACTTTTTGTTTTTAATAAAAGTTATTTTTTAAATTTATTTTTCATAACTGATAGAATTGACAAAATAAAAATCAACTAAATAACCGAAATTCGTTTGCTATGAATTTACAAAATGATATATATATATATATTTATATATATATATATATATATATATATATATATATATATATATTATATATATATATATATATATAGATTGTCTCATTAGAAAATGATTTAACTGCAAATCAATATTTAGTTTCTGTTCTCCAATAAGTTTTTCTTATTATTCATAAGAACTTAATTCTTAATAGACATGTAGGGAACACTTTTCCCCATTTTTTACTCCTACAAAAGCCCAACACTATAGTTCACTGTAGAGGATATTTTTAGATATTCAAAGTTGAGTGTTTCAATTTAAAAAAATTCTTATTGCTGATAGGAAACGTTCTTTGACTTTTTAAAGCAGACACTTGCTTAACTTTTAATTTTTTTTGTATAGATTTTTCTAATAAGTCATATTTCAGGGAGTGATATACGGATAGCTTATAACGAATGAAGTACAAAAAAAATGTTATTGTGTTAATTTTAATTATATTAATATTGTAAAAATAAAAATTATTTTATTTTAAGAAAAAATAAAAATACTTATTAACTTTATTCACTAGCAACTTTAGGTGCATGGGAGACAACTGTTGTCAGTTAGGTTTGAAAGTTTGCCATTTTTTTATTTATTGATTATATCTAACGCTATCTGTTGGTAAGAGAAATGTCTCAAAGAAAGGCAGGAGTGCCCATTCCTCAAGATGTCAATGATGGTTAAACTTCTCAACCCCCTAGGATATTTTATTGCTCTCCACTTCTTAAAAACAATGCAAGTGAAAGTAGAATTGAAAAGATTGTAGATCATATACAATTACATTTGTGCTGGTCTGTTGTGGTTGTCCCCTGATTTGAAATTTTTCATTCCGAAAATCAATCGAAAGGCCCCAATTAATGGAAGACACCCTCTGGCACCTGATCAAAAAGAATCACTAGCCCTCGGTGACTCCATTTGAACTGACATAACATAAATTATTATCGACAATTGTCCCCCGCACGACTAACAAAGGTTCTAAATAGTTTAGAATAAAATATCTGAGGTCTAGATTTAAAAAAATTATTCACCAGAATTTTTGCATAGATTATTTTTTTGGATACAGCTATCGACTGCAGTAGTGGAACCCTACAATGCTGTCCTCTCTACGAAGGAAACACTAGATGATGCTGACTGCGTATTCCTGGCTGATAATGAAGCAATGTCTAATATTTGCAAATGGAAGCTGTCAGTGGACCACCCAATGTACTCTCACCTGAACCGGCTTGTCGCTCAAACAGTTAGCGCCATCACGACTAGCCTCAGGTTTGAGGGAGATCTTAATGCTGACTTTGTCGACTTCCAGACCAACCTTGTACCATATCCAAGGATACACTTTCCCATTGTCGGTCTTGCTCCTATCGTCAACTTGCGCAAGTCATTCCATGAGACCTTCTCGGTTCAGAACATCACAAGCCAGTGCTTCGATTCTTCCAGCCGCCTGGCCATGTGCGATCTCCAAAGTGGTCTCTACATGGCTTGTTGTCTTCTTTATAGAGGAGATGTTGCTCCTAAAGATGTCAACAGCGCCATCAGGTATCTGAAGGACACAAGAATGATAAATTTCGTTAGATGGTCGCCTACAGGGTTCAAAGTCGGCATTAATTTCCAGAATCCCATTTCTGCTCCAGAACTGGAACTGGCCACAGGCCCTCGATCAGTGGTATCCCTTTCGAACAACACAGCTGTTGGTGAAATGTGGCTTTCTTTGTTGAGAAAGCATCAATTAATGGCAGACAAGAAGGCTTTCTTCCACTGGTACCTGAAGGAAGGTTTGGAGGTACGAGATTTTGATGAAGCTTCTTCAACCGTGGAAACTTTGGCTGCTGATTATGCTAGTATGGATATTGATAATGTTGCTTTTTATTAAAAGAAATAAATGTGTGAACTACACCATGATTCTGTCTATAATTCTTAGTTATGGCATTTAATTATTCTAAAACTCCTAGATTCATGAAAAAATATATTGCTAAATCAGTTTAACCAATAAAGCATCTTAAGTCTATCAGCTGAAATTTACATAACATCATGACTAAAACTACTCAGAATTCATTTATTTTATTTACTTATTTTTGCCATTAGCTCATTGACTTACTAGAGAATATAATATATAATTATCAATATTATTTTTATGTTATTAATATTGACATTCACAATCTAGTTGAATTAGGTGGGTAACGCAAAACATTTATGGAAATATTCAGTTGAGTCTATGTAAGGTATGATGCAATGAAACGGAAAACATCCCAGACTTAAATCCTGTTATTATTTGATCCATACTAGCTTTAATTACTAAAACTATTAATATTTTCGAAAATGATTGGGAAAGATTTGAAAATAGTTTGAATTACTATATTTAATCTGTATATGATTATTTATGTATCAAAATTCTTTTTAATCTCACAGCCTTGATATTTTACATTTTTACAAAGATTTAGGAAGTGGGGTAGCTCAATGGTAGGGTACTGATCTTCCAATTCTCAAGGTCCTGGATTCGAATCCCGGCTCTTAGCAGAAAAATTATTTATTCATTAAGAAAACCTGGCGATCGAGCGTGATCTCAGTCAAATCACCTTTTTGCACAACCGTTGACTAAGAAACAGAACTTTCCCTAAATAGTACTGAATCCAAGATTCTTTATGGGTTGTAGTAGTACTGTTTTTTTTATAAACATTTAAAAATTATTTTCAACCTTTTGGCTCCAAGAGCCATTTTCAAAAAAAAAATTTATTTTTTAAAAAACAAAACATAAGTCCTATAAAAACATTATTTCTAAAAAAAAACTTCTTAAAATATATATTTATATATAATACTCTTCAATGGTAGTAATTGTTTTATTCATTACTAAAACTAGTAATATTTTCTAAAGTAGTTTGGGAAAGATTTGAAAATAGGGTAGAAATAAGAATTTTGAAAGATTGCATTCTCTATAATTAGTGAAATAATGGCACCTATCTCTATGGCTAATAGTTTTTAATATATTTTAATATCTTTTATCATTAACAGATTCTGTATATTTGAATCTAATTATACACCTATGTATAATATAGTATCAACCATTTAAAAATAATTATCATTTGTTTTTAAATTAAGTTTTGCCCAAGAGTAGATTAGTTGAACTGCCTATGTTTAATTCTGCTCCATACACTCCTATCTTCTGTTTATCCTATAGATATACATATGAGACTAAGTGGAAATAATGTTTATCTTTATGTGTGCTCAATTGAACAGTTCATTGTACTTGTATATTCATTTAAATATAAAAACATTTTTCTCCCAAATTTTGCAGCTCCCAAAAAATTGGTATCATGGATAAATTTCTAGTCTGCTTGTGAGTGAATTTGCCATTGGTTTAGCCTTGATACAATGATTTATTCAATACAAAGCTTGATCAAATATTTTTTGATCTGTCCTAGTTGATTTGATTTTTTTTTATTAATGATGATAATTCTGTTTAACTATTTCTGAGGATATCTAATGATACAACTTAATACAGTTCTAGTCAGCATATAATTAGCACTGGGATTTAAACTTATACTTCAATAGCTTTTTAATTATCTAAAAATTTGATTTGGTCATTTTTATTTTGAAGGAAACTTAACAGGGGTGCTAAATTATATAAAACCCAAAGAATCAAATCTGACAGCCTTTAAGATGAAAGAACTAAAAATTATATTATGCAGAAATGTGTGTTTCTTGTCAAAAATATAAGAAAAGTTGTTCCTGAAAGACACCTGTTGGGTTTGCTGATATTCAGTGATTTTTTCGACCTATAAAACTAAATAGATAGTGGGAAATACTAGAATATTCGAGCACAGGTGGGATTACCGTTTCAAATGAATGCCTTTCGCCTGCTTTAGACCATTCCCAACAATTGAAGTTCTTCAATTACTGCAGTCTATGCCGAAAACTGGATGGGGTCCAGTGGTTAAAAGGCCCAAAAAAAACTATTTTTTGAAGTTATTGGAAAAATAATTTTCTTTTCTTAATGATAAATAGATCAGTTGCCTAAGATATTTCACTAATTAAATCGATAAAATATTGGTTTATAGCGTTGAACGAGACTTTCAAATCCGATCATGGATTTGATCGAATTTTAAAATAATTAGTTGTTAAAAAATAATTTTAAATAATTTTTCTGAGCCTTTCCCAACAAGCAAAGGATTGCTCCAGGAGTGTTGTGCCTCTCCTTCTCTGTTCAAGATTTATCTTGACGCTTGTTTGAAAACATGGAAAATAAAATGCACACACATAAGGATTCAGTTGAAAGAAAAAGTGTTCTAGCCGAAAAGGACTGCTGGAGACGAGCGGCGGGGATATCCAGAATGGATAAAAAGTGAGAAATACGACCATTAGAGAAAAGATGGAGGCTAAAAGAACCATTCTGGAAGATAGTGAGTAAAAACGCCTGAAGTGGTATGGACATTTGAAAAGAATGCCCGAAGGAAGACTACCCAAAGAAGTCCACTTATGGAAAACTAGGGAAAGAAGAAGAAGAGGAAAACTTGACATAAAAAAGTGGAGGAATCCATGATGTGTCATGGTCTATGGGAAGAATGGACCTTAGATAGGACATTATGGAAAGAAGCCATCCAAGCACTTTAGGTTAAGGAAACTCACTATTAGTGGAAACTCCTAATAAAGAAAAAAAAAATTCATAGAATGAGTTTTTGGTATTTGGTAGTAAGAAATAATACTCTCAACCTTCCATCTCACAAAATCATTATGCTCCATTTATTTATTTTACAAAATTGATAGCCAATTTATTTATTTTTTAAAGAATAGATATCTCATAGATTCACATTATACTTCAACTGTAAATACTTGTTCAAGCATAATACTACCTCTGTTATCCGTGCTTGTCGGAATCGAGACCTGATCAGTTAAATTGAAATCTAAGCCTGTTATTCCAGTGTTTTACAGAAAAAAATGTAAATTCGGTAAAAATTAAAATTAAAAGTGTCTACAAAAATTAATTTATAGTTTGTAGGTGTATTAATATAAGATTTATTTAAATTGATTAGACCTACTTATTACAAATTTTCTGGAATGCATGATTTAATTTTTAATGTATAAACAATAGTTCGTTTTTTAATAGTCACCTCAAGATCTGTTAATTATTTAATTTTTCCTTATCCGAACCTAAGTGTTTTCATCAATTACAATACAATTTCAAGTACTGGCTAGGCTATTGAAAAATGTAGAATACATAATACAGCAAGATTTTTGATATTTCTTACTCTTAATTTTCTCTTTATTAGTTTGTTCTTAATATAAGTTCACAAATCAAGATTGGCTGTAATAAAAACAATTACCTAATTTGTTTCAATAATTTAGTCAGCTGAAACTAGTCTATTCTGAGAGAAATTAAAAATTAATTCTTCTCCGGCTTTCTTTTTTACCACCGTTTAATCCGGAAAGCCGGTTGAGCAGGGTTCTACTGTATATATTTTATAGCAAATTTAGGTGTGAATATGATAGTATCAAAACTATTTTTCAATGGTTTTTTTTTTTTTTTTTCGATTTTCAATCTCTGTGTGGGGTACCGATAACTGTGGGTTATACCCTATTTAATAATTAAGTGTAGCGGATTGATTGCAAGAGTGAAAAACAAAGAAATTTCAATTTTGATGTGAGATTAAAACCTGTTTAGTTTCAGAAGAGCTTTATTAGGCTTTTTAGGGCCTATAGTTGCCATGGGATACTTAATACATGTTTAATTGAAGAGAAGTTGGTTGGGGTGTTCAATCAAAAATAAACAAATTAAAATTAATAAATGATATTTATAATAGTCTTCACAAGATCCATTAATTATTTAATTTTTGCTTATCCGAACTTAAGTTTTTCATCAATTACAAAAGAATTGCAAGTACTGGCTCCTCCCTCTTTCCCACACGTCTCCACAACTCTCTCCTCATAACATGTTGGCGCCATAGGATTAAGTTCGAGTTAATGAGACTCCTTAGAGAAAAATAATTCACCTGCTTTGATGAGGTCTATTGCATCAAAAGTGAAGGTTCTACAAGATATGCGGATATTGTCGCATTTCTCAAGACAAGAAGGACAGCGCTGATCTTGGATCCAACTGTCCGCTTTGAGAGCAATGACCTCGATCAGGCGAGTGAAGTGGAAAGAGAAAAGAAGAACTCATATGATAAATGTATCCCTTTCCTAAAAGAGAAGTTCCATAAGAAGCCTCTGATTTGGGTTTTACGGAACAATTATTAAAAGAACAAGGAGCTTCCTCGAGGAACTAGGTGTCGACATTGAGAACGTAACGAGGTTGGCTTAAAATATAGTCCTCGACTCTCTGGTAATCATTCACCACCACTACCTGGGTTTTAATTTATGTATTTATTTATCGAAAAAGTTTTATTGTATTAAATTGTATATACACTTTTGTGTTTGTTATTGTTTATATTGAATAGTTTTAAGTATTTTAATACATGTACCATTTTAGAGAGATAAATAGAGGAAAGGGAGAGAAAGGGAAATTAAATGGGGGGAAAAAAAGAGTGCTTGAACAAGGAAAAAAAAAAGATATACATATTTATTATACTCATAAATATTAACCACTTCTATATATTTCTATATAAGCTTTATTGATTGTCCTAAAGATTATTCAATATGCTGTATGTCCAGCAACCCAATATAATTGGGCAGCAAGCTTTTATATTTTATATATAAATTTTTCGGTCCAAAGTTCAAGTCTTCATTAGGGCTGGAATCACGGGAAGTTCCCCTAAGTCCTATAATAAAATTAAAAATAAATAAATTTGTTTATTTTTGACTGAACACCCCGACCAACTTCTATTCAATTATTCAACTACACTGTGTTTGACGCAGTGAGGGCCAAACTAATCAGGAGTACAAATATCTACAGTATCAACGAAGGAGTTTTGCCTCTT